GGGTGTGTGTTATTCTGCAGCAGGAAGGTCCTTCCTGATCCGGCTGCCTGCAGAGAGACAGCGGTGAGCGTGCTCAACGTTGTTATATAATTTATGTTATATTATTGTTTTATATTATTTGTCAGCATGAAGGGCCGGGGGTTGTGGTAGAGCAGCTGAGCGGCAAGCTGTGGCCAGGTCGCACTGGCAACGAGGGGATGGGATAAAGCTCCTGCATGTGCATCTGTTTTATGCACGGATGCAGAAAAGCAGTTCAATCGAGATTTTCTGCATCCCTCTCCACACGCGAACAGAGTCAGTCGTTCAATCCAAATCCTCTTTGCTAGTGGGACCTTGCCCCTGCTGGCAGTCAGCCAGCTCCGCACACGCGAGGAACAAGGGTGGCGTGGCGTGGCGTCGCGTGGCTTCCTCGCGCTTCCTGTGCTATGGCATGGAATGGCTAGGACTGGCGTTACCTCTACACACAATCTTTTTTTTTTTTTTTTTTTTTTTTTTTTTTCTGCGTTGAGCTACGTTTCCGAAAAAGAAAAGGAAAAAAAAAAAAAAACCCTGGAATATCGAGTAACCCCCTGCTACTACGCATAGAATCGCGGGTCCGTAATCTTTGCCCCTCCAAACCCGGCTGTCCCTCGTTTTTTTTTTTTTTTTTTTTTCCCCTTTTAAATCACGGGCCCTGTGCCCAAGGCTTATATTTCCAATTGAGAAGCCAAACGGTCCCTCGTTTTTTCTTGGATGATGTATCTTTTCTTTCTTTTTTTAAATTCCTTTTCTAAAAGCGCGACATCCTTGAGATGTCATAATTAACCAAAAAAAAAAAAAAAAAAAAAAAGATATCATAAGATTCGTAATCTCCCAAACGAAACAAAGACGAAAAAAGTTTTCATCGAACTATGCAGCTGCCTATGGGCCTCGCTGCAATGCTCTCCATATGCGCAAAAGACTACCAATATGGCGGTGTATCTTTCCACGTTCTAGTGGACGATTCATTCTCATTTTGCACATTTGGAGAGTACTGCATCGAGGCCCTATCTCAAGGCATACTCACACTAGCATGTACAATCACAAATTAAACGTGAGCCAATTTTCGATTATACGGCACTTCCCAGTCACACAGCACACAGCACACCCATATACGTCACAAAACAGAAAGGACACAGTAAGGACACAGTCTCGTGTATACGTCACAAAACAGAAAGGACACAGTCTAGGAATGCTATTATAGGGCCCGACGGGCCACACAGCACCATGCATAAAAAAATCCATCCCTTTTTCCTGTTTTTTTTCTTTTTCTTTTTCCTACAAGAACTGCCCACCAAAAGTAGAACTCTTTTTTTCTGTTTCCAGAAAGAAACAGGGGCCATGTCCCACTAGCTCCGTTGAGCTAGTTCAACGTGGGGTTTTTGACCCTGTGTGAGTGTATGCGACAAGGGAGATTAAAAGCGTCCAATTCATCCAACGGTCCATTTTTTATAAAAAGGGCAATAGATACTATCTTCGCTTTTTCTTACAAAAAAAAACAGAAATAAATACTTTCTCTGGAATACTACTACCCCTACCCTCGCCACTTTCCGTTGAAGTAGCTGTCTCCTTTTTTCGAGACAGCTAGTTCAACGACCCTCTTGTTCCCCCAAAAGGCGTTTTTCGAAAGAAACTGAACGAGCCTCCTTCCGCTTGCCATTTTTGGAGGGGATTCGGGCAACTCTTCATTTTCTGCTGTGGAAGCGCCCGAATGCCACTCCAATTGTGAAAAATGAAAAACGAGAACAATTGTATTCCTGCCATTTATAAATGCATTTCTCATTTGAAATTGAATTAAAATGAATTTTTTAAGCTGTCGCACCGTTGAGCTGCCTCAACTAAACGGTGCATATGGGACATGGTCCCAGGTCTAAGAGAAATAGGCAACTGTGGGGAACCTCCAGGGCTGAGGTCCCACTAGCAAAAAGGATAGGATCGAGATTTTGAATCTGGATGTGTCTTATGCAGAGATGCAGAAAAGCAGTTCAATCTCGATTTCCTGCACATCTCCATAATCTCGTCCAGATTCAGGCATTAGATCCTATCCTCTTTGCTAGTGGGACCAGGCCCCAGAGATTCCCACAAAATACGTAACCCCGCGGCTGTCCAAGCAAGCCGCTGACATTTACCTGCACATTTGCGTGAAAAAAGCAGAAAAAGAAAAAAGAAAAAAAAGAAAAGGAAAAAGGAAAAAAAAAGAAACGCAGAATACATAGCCCGTGTGAACCCAGAAATCACCTATAATTTATGTATTTATGACAATGCGTCCTACAGTCTTTCCCCCAATTACAGCGTACCGTCATTATAGCTGAATTTAGACTGAAAGATGCCCCAAATTCAGCTATAATGACCGTACGTTGTATTGGGGGGAAGACTGTAGTGTGAGTATGCCCTCAGTTGGTAAGACACACAAGTGGCATTCAGGAGGTCTTGGGTTCAATCCCCATTGGCCTCATGCACCTTCTTCAGCACGCTTGGCGCCACCTGGAGAGGGCATTGAGTGAGCAGAGACTGCCAGGGAGCGACAGAGACTGGCCCATGGAAGAAGCTGTGTTCTGATGCTACGGGTATTGCGTATCACCTGCAGGTCAGGTGCAGCCCCTGCATGTTCCCTCTTTGGAGGCTTGAGCAGGGGCTGGTTGCTGATAAATAAAAAGGGCCTGAAAGGTCGTCCTGTCCAGATTCTACAGGTATAGCTAAGGGCCTCCTCACACTAGGGCCTTCTATGACTAAATAGCTAAAATTTGAGGGTTGGGCCAGTCGTCTTTCTGGATACGCTGATCGTCGTTACATGATTGTGGTTGATGACCTTCAAAATTCAAATTTGTCAGGTAGACTTCCTATAGAACTACAGTAGCAGGAGGCAGGAGAAAGTGGCAAAAGCAGCAAATGGGGCCGCGGGGAAGGGCAGGTGGCAGGGAAGGGCATTTTGCTACCACCTCTGCAGGTGGTAGCATTCTTTTTTTGGGACTTCCATTTATTTGCAGTATGCCCCTCCGAAAGCCGACTTGGTGTTTGTCCCCCTGAAAGGATTGAAGTTTCCGAAAAATCCCTGGTGTTCTTTGGGCCTGAAATATGTCCAATTTGCCCCTATCGGTACCGGTTCCAAATTTCCAGTATGCCCCGGTAACTCCCCTCCCATTACCTGTTGCACCCCTCCGAAACGATTGAAGTCTCTGAAAAATCCCT